GAATTCAAAGTTGGTTTCATTATCTGAGAAACCATTATCACTCTTCAAAGCTCTGTTCTCTTTTCTCCTCCTTCTCTCTAAAAAAAATCTCTCATCTCACCTCATTTGATCTACCATCAGATTGTGTCTAAGTCATTCTGGTGTCAAGAATTCCTCATTTTGGTGTCAAGAATTCCTCATTCGCCGATCAAACTTGTGTTTTTAACGGTTAAGTTTTGTTTCTTGAGTTTTTGTCAAAATTTGGAAAATTCTGTCACATGCAAGGTAGCCCTGCTGGTTGCATGTGTTCTTCAACCTTCTCTTGTTCTTTCTATGACATCCCAAAATATATAAAAACCATATATAATAAAGACGTCATCATTGCATAATATAGGAAAGCAGTCAAGAGTAATTAAGGATTACGGTCATCCTTAGAATAGCGTGGAATTGAAAACTAGAGTATTAGAGTTTCTCCCTGGAATTTACAGAGTATTTAAAATTTTAAACATACAAAAGTTTGTCAAAGCTAGCAAATAAAAACTAGCGAATCTAAGATGCAGCGCTGCCATCCCCATCAAGAACTGTTTCCAAAGTGTCCTCCTTGCCATCTGCTCCCACCCAAGTGGGTGATCATCGCACATACCCAAACCCAAACACTACAAGAAATGCGCTTATTTCCGGCGGCTCTTTACCGAGGGCCTATGAGCCTTCGGTAAGTCATTCGTGAGTTCAATTACAGACGGCTGAGAGACCTTCGGTAATTTCTTCGAAAAATTTTAAGATGTTCCCTCTCTGCAATTCATTTTCCCACTTCCCACCGGCCCTAGTGCTCTCTCGTCGCCCAAAACCTTTCCCTCCAACCCTTTGCTCCTTCAACGCTATCAAGCCCTAATCTTGCTCTCCTCTGGCCAAATTTCAGAAATTCCCCTTCTCCTCTGCCAAATTTTCGAAATTCCTCCACCGCTACGAAAACTGTTGTCTGTTTTTGGTCACCCCAAGCCGTTCTCCGCGTCCTTCAGAAGCTTCTCGTACGCCTCGTGCATCTCGTCCAACTGCAGCACCGACTTCCAGATTCGCTTCTCCGTCTCCGCCCGCTCCCGGCCCTCCCTCTCCTTCTCGGCCTGGTGGGCCCGCCACTCATGAATCTCCATCTCCGCGGGGCGCGATCTCCTCTAGTTCGTGGGAAAGGTGGGCCTCGATCTCCGTCAGCCTGGCCCTGGCGCTGTCAACTTCCTCATGCGTGGGCAGCTCCCCCATCTGGTTCAGGACCGTTCCGGCCTAGGCCACCTGAGATACGACTCGGCCCATGGAGGCCATGAGGTATGGGTCGGCGAGGTGCGGCATTTGGCTCACAATCTCCGGAGCCCGCGGCTGCTCGAGGTCGAAGTGGTCGGAGTCGGAAAGGATGGGAAAGGTTCGAGGGTTGGGATCCATGGCGTGAGAATGAGTTTGGGGTTTGCGAATTGGGAATTGGGAATTGGGAATTTGTTATCTATGATTCTTAATTAATTAATTAGTTGATTTTTCTGTTGTTTCACAAATATAATTTTTTATGCAGCTGCCTGTATGTCAATGGAAATGGCGTGGATGAAGAAGAGGAGCAAATAAGTTCTGCCACTCACAACACTGCTAACGATGAAATGAATCAATATTTGAAGGAGCTTCAACTGGAGGAACAGGGTGATAATCCTAAGATTAATGGTGGCAAGGAAAAACAAGCAGCCAGAAAAAAAGGCATCACAGAAGCAGAAATGAAAAATGAGGCAACATCAGAAGCAGGTAGTACAGAGGCAACATCAGAGAAGCCTGCTAAACATCATCTGAAGCTGCCCTAAACATCATTCTTTAGCCAATAAGGAGGGATTCTTGACCATCTTGTCCCTCTGTACCTTCCTCTGAAAAATTCTGATGATTGCTGATGAGAACGTGTCGTCTTGTATGAAACGCCCGAGAGAGATGTATTGAAAACTCCGACTTTCAATAAGGATGACAGTCAACTCACTGCTTCTCTCTTCTTTGCACTTCGAAATTACCGAGGGCTTTTGCCCTTCGTAATACCGAAGGCTTTGGCCTTCGGTAATACCGAAGGACAAAAGCCCTCGGTATATTTAGCGACAAGAGAATTACGAAGGATTTTTTTGGCCGTCGATAAGCCTTCGGAAACACCCTTTATGACGGCTTATGGCATTTTCCGAGGGCTTTTGGCATTTCGGTAATGCCCTACTTTTTTGTAGTGAAACACAAACAAGTAGGGTGAGCTAGACATAAAAAGCATGTTATTAACCTCCAACGACATGCCAAAAATTCATTCAAAATGGTTAAAATGACATCACATGACTTGTTACTTTATTAAAACTGAATCGTCCGACGACTTAGAATATAGTCGAGCTATGGCGGGTCTTGGGCTCCCCCACCCTACCACACTCACGAGGTAGTCTGTTATCACTCACATGGATCATTACTGGAAGCACCAAGACTAGGGACCTCCTGCTATCCTCACCACATGGTTCAATCCTCTCTACATGAGAAGAAAAGACCATTGGAGTGTCAGGATGACCCCCAAGACTGAGCTCCACTTTCATTCTAAACACTACCAGGGCCACCACCATGTATCCTCTCCTTGAGATCATGGAATTGCGTCCATTGAACCATATTGTCACTTTGAAACTTAACCCAAGACATGAATAACCGGATTATTCAAATTATCACAGTGAAATTCACATATCTATACCTTCACATACTTTCCACATAAATAACATCTTATAGTTCACAATCTGTGTTCCGATGATAAATTCAAATCCAATAAAATCCAATATCGCAGACATCACAAACGAATAGATCACAAATAAATGAACAGTACATAATTGTTCAATAGGATTAAGTAAAAAAACTTGTCGACGTAGACTAGTAGACTTCCAGGAAAGAGAGTGCGTCTGTTAATCTTTTGGCAGTGACAAATCGTTTTCACGTAATAAACCCGTGGGAATAAGACCGGGTATCGTTTCCCAAGAGACTCGTAATACTAGAAAATGTGCGAGATTAACAACTCATCTAGACTCAAGAAAAACTATTCATTTAGAATATGTGCAAAAAGATAAATTCACAAGTTAATACAAGGTTGGACTTTGGTATTGAAGGCACTTGGAATGGAAAAGACTTAGAAATGGTATGAAATTGACATTGTTAAGGTTAGTTTTACCAATGCACTCTGTGTTGCTGTTATAAAACCAATTTCATCTCCTCTCTATCAATTACTAAAGTCAATCCACTAAACATCTAGCCCTAACCCTTAGGTGAAAGAGCAGGTTTCCTTATCAAACTCCAAATCCCTTGGAATCTAACAAGCAAACCCGCAGTAGAAACTAGGATCTAAGACAACATGTGAATCATATCCCCATCCCTTTTTTTTTTTTTTTGGGATCAATGACCCGCACACAAGGACTCTTGTTTCAGTTCAAGATTTCATATCCCATCCCTGGCTCAATGAAACCCCAAAATCAAGTCATGAACGTCCCCATTACATGCAAGCTTTAAGATCGTAAACAAGAATACTAGTAATAGATAGAAAAGGCATTTATAAATACGAAACAATCATTCATTACACAAGAGTTCATAAGCTACAATCTAACCTAACAAGATGATATGGTTCTCCATTTCATGGAGACCTAAAGATTACAAACATGGAAGAGGAAGAAGAAAGAAGGAGACCAAAAAGGAAGAGGAGGAGATGTTCCCACAAGCTCTCGTGCCCTCCATGAGCTCCAGAGTGAAATCGACCACCTCCAAAGAACCAAAGACCCTTTTTCTTTCTGCTCATGAGTATATATTACTGCCGATTCTCGCTTAAGCTAAAATTATTTCGCTTAAGCGAGAATTCTTCTTGGAGAGATTAGTGATTCTCGCTTAAGCGAAATTATTCTCGCTTAAGCGAAAATGACTTTTAAATCAATGACTTCCTGGATCACCGAGGCTCTTCAATGTAATGGAGGATCTTCCTAACATCGAAATTGATCAAAAAAACAAGGGATTAGAATATTATTTATGTAATGTAGCTCAAAATATAGATAAATACTAAAACTAAATAAAAGAGAGGATTTAAGCAAGTAATAAGCTAAAGAAGAGTTGATTTTACTACTAAAATGATGCTTAGATAATGGTAAGAATTAGCATTATCAGCCCGTCACAATGGACAAATTAACGTACCAAGTATTTCTTGAGCCAAAAAGGTTTCTCAACTAGTTTTAATGAATTTCTATTTACAGATTCAAAACAACAGCATATAATATTAACACCGAAATTCAATATAGATAGATATACAGTAAACGTTAACAATATTCCACAGAATTTCAAGACATGAATAGTAATAAAACAATACTAAATCATAATATAAAAGCATAGAAAGGTTAGCTCCCCTACCTCTTCTCTAGAATTATTTTCTCACTAGAAGCTGTTCCCTGAAAACTCTTCAGAATCTCTACTCTTCTTACAACCAAAATTTCTTCCTAACTCTTTCTTCTCTAAATTTCAAGATTTCTCTCTTGATTCTTCTTCTCTTTGTGCAAAATAGCCTCCCCCTTCATAGCTATTTATAGTCCAAAAATTTTACTATTCATCAATTTTTTTAATATTATTTTAATATTATTTTATTATATTAATTTCTTAATCACCACTTACTTAATGGATTCATAATGGATTCCTTAATAATGTCTTTAAATCTGATCCTAATTCCTTCCATGCTAAACAATTCTTATCCTTTCATTTTATTTATTTTTTTACTATTCACTTTTTACTATTCACTATTCAGTATTCATTTTTTTTTAATTTTCTTAAAAAAAATCCTAAATAAGTTATCAAAATTTGAACCTCTCCTTCTAAATTACTATAACTTTATATCCAAAATTTACATTTTTCTATCCATTAAAATTATTATTACTAATAAAATGCTAAAATTTACTAATATTTTTCATGAGTCTTACATTTTCCCCAACAAAAAAAATTTTCGTCCCCGAAAATTCTACACTTCAAGAAAATAGTTGAGGGTACAATTGCTTCATTTCTTCTTCTAGTTCCCATGTAGAGTCACCTGTCCTCTTATCCCAAACCACCCTGACTAAAATGATAGTTTTTCCTCTAAGTTCCTTTGCTTTAGTGTCTTCTATACAAACAAGTTGTACTTCCACGGAGAGATCCTCTCGGATTTGAATCTCTTCTATTTCTAAAATGTGAGAAGGATCAGGTACATACTTTCTTAGTTGGGAAACATGAAAAACTGGATGGAGATTGGCCAACTGAGGGGGTAACGCAATCTCGTAAGAGACTGGCCCAATTCGCCTCAAAATTTGGTATGGACCAATGAACTTAGGAGAAAGTTTCCTCGAGCGAAGAGCTCTACCGATACCCGTGGTTGAAGTTACTCGCAGGAAAACATGATTCCCAACCGCAAACTCTAACGGTCTCCTCCTTTGATCTGCATAGGACTCCTGCCTATTCTGAGATGCCCGCATCCTCTCCTGTATAAGCTTCACCTTCTCTGTGGTCGGCTGAACTAGTTCTGGTCCCGTCAACACTACCTCTCCATCCTGAAACCAACAAAGAGGTGTTTTGCAGCACCTCCCATATAATGCTTCAAACGGTGCCATTATTCGCATTAGTAATTGCAAGGAAAATTTTGGAAATAAATTTGGGACATTTGAAGGTTAAATGAGAAATGACAATTGAGCCCAATGCATCTCAGCCATTTCAATTTTCGCACAGCGCTACGTGAATGTTGTGTCAACTTGTGTGTCTTCGTTTGAGTTCAATTCTTATCCGTTTTCCATGCAATTTTTTTTCATAGTTTCGTCTAGATGTCTATTTTAACGTATAGTTTTTACTTTGTTCAAATTCGTTCTGTGTTGTTCCCAGTATTTTGTTTACTCCCCTATGTCAGTTCAGTGCTTACTGTTTGAGTGATTTATAATCTCTTTACATTGTTTGCTTGCTGTTTGGTATTTGTGGTGGCTGGAATATCACGGTATTGGCTTGGTCCAGCAAAACATCTCACTGCCACAACATGAAGGGTCTAAATTTTAGGCCTCTTGATTGGTTGCAAGGTGCATTTCACGGTAGAATCAAATTGGCAACATCCATATGCCTTCACGTGAAAAGAAGGAACAAGTCCTTTCTCTCTTGAATTTTAAGAAGCATTGATTGGCTTGGAATGACATTGCATCTCACGGACATAGCTAACTGAAAGCATGAAGCAACACATGATTTCTTTCTTCTAAAATTAGTGCACAATGGCATGTAAGGGACAAGTGAACAAACACGTTGTAAATGGGAGACATGCACGGCAAATGCTTCCAGTCACATTTCAAAACCAAACAACACATGGTGAGGGAATCTTAAAGCTTTTGGTTTTAATTGGTTTGGAACAACACCTCACGGCCTAAGGCAGCAGCCAGCACTAAATGAAGAATCTTCTTTCTCTTTTGGAAGTGGGAAGCACCATAACATCAGACAAAAGAAGGGACCACCAATTGGAGAAGCATCTCACGGTTTTTCTCTCCAGCTGCACCATGGAAATTAATTCTTCATTCTTTCTTTAGATGAGCTTCACGTGAAGACACTAGGTGCAGCCCATGAAAGACCAACAAAGCACACAGCAGCTGCCACAAAGAAGTCCAACCATTCACACATCTCACGGCTTTGGTGCAGCAGAAAAATATCCAACCTTCACACCTTCATACGTTCCAGCTGCACCACTCTTCATCCAGCAGCTTTGAATAAGAAAGAACACATCCAAGAGAAGCTTGAAGGAAGAGCTATGGCCTTGGTCCAGCAGGAGCAACTTTGGTGAGGTGCTGCACGTTCCATACTCCATTCACGGTCTTGGTTCAGCAGCTAAGGCAGCTAGTGGAGGTGAGTCATTGTCTTGAGTGCTCCATTACCTTAAGTGCTCCATGCATTACCTTGAGGGCTCCATCCACTAAGGAAATCATCATCATTTTGCAACTAAGTGGAGAGTCCAATGGGGAGGGAGTGCACGGCTATAATGAAGGAAGAATCAAATTTTCAGAGGATGGTTGGTGGTGTGTGAGGGGGAGGCCGAGAGCTCCACAAGAGAAGAGTTTTTGGACATGTGAGGCAGAGAGGAGAAGGAGGCCGTGAGCTCATGGTGGGAGGATGAAGGAAACCAATCACTGCTGGAATGGAGGATGATACTTGAAGTTCTTGTTGTCTTCTCATTTGGTTTTGTAAATCTTTCATTTAAGCTTTTGTTCATCTTCTGTTGCATTTATCTATCTCTTCCATAAACTGTAATTTGAATTCTGTGTTTGTGAAAGTTGTTTTGAGAGCTTTGTAATTTAATCTTGAAGTGTTTTCTTTCCTTTTGATTTGTGCTGCAAAGGTCACGGTTGTGTAGAATTCATACTCCTTCTTTTGTTTAGTTTTCTTGATAAACTTTTGGTTGAATCTTTTCATTATGCTTGAATGTTCACGGTTGTTCAAGGAATAATTGTTTCATGATTTTATTTTAAGCAAAGCAAAAGTGATTAAAATTGGAAGGAGGAGAAGAGGTTGAATTGTTGGGAGGTGGAGCAGCTCACGGTTATTTCATTTCCAGTAGCAAACCTTTTAATTCTTTTTGTTATTGTTGAGAAGAATAGGAGTTGGCACGTTAAAACTTTCTTTTTCTTGTAAGAACCATTTATCTTTCTTCTAAATTCCATTAGCATTTAGTCCAACATGTTGACCTCTTTTTGCATTATGTTTTTGTCTTTTAATGAGTTGTTTTAGAGAAGAAGTGCCGCTGGAATGGTGTGTATGTTAGGAATACAATTTCAATTGTTTTTCATTTCAAAAGATGTCAAGAAGTGTTAATTAAGGGTAGGAGTACGTAGGAGTGCTATCACATGTTTTCTTTGTAAAATAAAATTGGAATGGATGTTGGAAGGCATGGTGTTGGATGAAGGAATCTAATTTCATTTTCAATGAAACCCATGGAAGCTAAACATGTCACGGCTATAATTAATTTTTGTTTAGAAACTTTTCAAAAAAATTTAATTTCTGTAAGAAGTTGTTGTACGTTTTCTGAACATTTACAGTTTCTGCGTTTTATTTCAAATCCTGATGAATTGTGTATTCTATATTGTTTCACTGTGTTTAATTGTTCAATCAAGCTTTTTAATTTGTAATACACACTTTGAAAGTTCATTTTTACAGCATTGTGTCTCTTCTAATTTTACCCTTTACTATTTTCTGCACCGTTTACTATTTTCTGCACACACACATACACTTTGCTCCGACTATTGACACACGACACGCGAGCCTCTCCTGTTCACGAGACCAAGCAAGGGAACTTGAACTATAGCTTCTGATAACTTCCTCTGACAAACAGTATTCTACAAGAGCTTCTGTTCAACAACGTTACTATTGATCTTCACAGAAACCCAATATATAGCTAGCTGTTCTGAATATCTAAGGTTAAGTCTCAACTGCCACGAATAATCGATTATTGTAAGTGATAATCTATTATTCAAGTCCGTTACAGGTTTTCAAAAATGTGATAATCGATTATATGAGTTGATAATCGATTATTCCTCGATGACTTGTGATAATCGATTATTGTCATTCCATAATCGATTATGGCAGTAAAAAATGCAAGTTTTACAAAGTTACAAGACTTTCCTACTATATTTAATTTTTACAAATTGCTTTTAAATAATTCTAATATCTTCTTCAACTAAAACTTCTTGCAGCATCATCAAAACAATTTTCTTCAAGATTTACCAATACTCCTTATTGGTAACAATATCTTCTACTAAAATTGTAATATTCCATTTTAGTAGCATAAAAATAATAAAATAAGATATTTTATAATAATATTTAAAATTGGTAATTTAGGATCTAAAGAATTGTATTATAGTTATACTATAATAGCATGAGATACATAGATATAGTTTTAAAGAAGTTATGGTATAAATGGAAAATTTCAAAGTCTTTCATAAGATTATAGGGACAAGGTAAAAATAACCTTACAACAAGAGAGTAGTAAAATACATCCCTCCTAACTAACATGCAAAAGAGTTATCCCAAAACAAATAAAATTATATTATATATACAAACATGAATATAAATATAATTAATATATATACACACAAAACATATGGCTTTAAACTTAATTTTAATAATACACGTCCTTGATATCGAAATTCACTAGAGGTGTACACTTATGGTGGTCTTTATGTCTATAGAGTCTTAGTCAAAGAGATTATCATCCTACGTACCATACGTAAGGTTAATTTTCTTCGTGCCTAGGGCCAAATAAACCTATTTACTAGGACCTCTTGCGACTCTCACCTCATAACACATTCTACTCTACATATACTAAAGAAATGCTACCATAAAATTCTCCACTAGATCTCTAGAATTACGCCATACACACACAATGCTCATATCCATTGACAAGCTCATCATCTTCACAATTTCATACATCATTATTCACATGCATATTTTTGTCCATAAATTTATCAACAATTCCTTAAACAACAATTACACATCAATTAAATTGACTATTAAAGTCATGAACATGAATATATCAATCAATAGAACCACCAAGAACCAGTTAAAGAGAAAAAAAAAACTAATAGTAAAGTTGGCTCTAACGACACTCCCAGTGCTCAACGTTTTAGAGCTAAAATGATCCAGACTTACAATACGAAGCTGCCACTAAGGGGTACCCTATTTCCGCTTAGCGGTACCTTACTATCACTCAATGCCAAAGCAATCGCAAAAGTTGGCACTCATCAACATAGTCTAGCACGCAGCGACATAGTTTGGGGTCAGTGTCCTAGAGCTAAAGTGTTCCTAAACCTGCAACATGAAACTGATGCTTAACATTAATATGTTATCGCTCAGTGTTGTATCAACAAACCAAAAAGATTCATGTTGTGAAAGAGGAATTCAGACTTGTTCAATTGCTCAATTGCTCAAATTCCACTCACATTCACAACCAAAAACAATCACAACACTCAAAACATATAATTGTCATCCAAACCATAGAAGACCATACTAGCAGATACACCAAACCAGATTTATAAAGAACAATCAATTTCATCCTCAAATTCAATAAAGTAATAACATGCAATTCATCAAATTTGACAAAAATTACACAACATAGATCAAGACTAACTTCCTTTACATGTGAGACATCTCAACCTACTCTAAAAATATCAAATCGTCTTCAGACTCATAATATACTTTATCTATACCTAGGAACAAGACAAATATAATCATAGCACATCGTTAAAATCGGTAATCAATAAAGAATCGTATTGATCTCTTAAACAACATATGCAACCAAAAGAAGACAAAACAAATTAGACCGAGAGAAAATGGTAGATAAATAACTTAACCCAATTGTGAAACTAATCGATTAAAATTAAAGATTTTTCCGCGATGATCAATCATACAATATTGGTGTTTCACTCATATGAACAAAGAAGAAGAACTCTGAGAGAAGTTAAAAAACTCTTGAAAATGGTTTTCTAGAGAGATGATATGTTTTAAAACAATGAAATTCGTTTATAATAAAAGTATTTATACTAAAATCTTTTAATATTAAAATAATCAAATCCCATTATTTTTAATCAACTAT